AGAGTCGCAGTGAATCTCGGGAAGAGGGGTGCAGGGCCCTAACTCCCCCACAATCCGCAACACCCTCCTGAACTGGTGCTGCAGGATCCCCCAGGCTCCAACCCCCCCGCAGCCCCTTCTCCAACATGCAGCACATGCCCTGTCATGCAGCCCCTCCCCCCCTCCTCCCCCCCCACCACGTATCCATGGGCCTGGCACTGTCACGGAGTCCCCGGGCGATGCTCTGGGACTGCTCCCCACGAAGCCAGTCAGGACTCTGGGGAGCCTCCTCTCCCTCGGAGCAGACTGTCTCCAGGGCAAGACGCTCACACGGCTTCACCTCCTGGGTCTGACCTTGGAGCATTCAGCATATGCCCCTCCGTGCGCTTCCCACAGCGAGTCCGCCCCGGCGGGGTCCTGGGGCAGCCAGAGGGTCCTGCACCCCCACTCCGCAGTCAGACGTGACTCGCAGCCAGCCAGTAACACAGAGGTTTAGTAGATGACAGGAACACGGTCTAAAACAGAGCTTGTAGGTCCAGAGAACGGGACCCCTCAGCTGGGTCCATTCTGGGGTCCCGCGAGCCAGACACCCCCATCTCCTTCACTCCTAGTCCCCAGCCAGCTCCAACCTGAAACCCCCTCCAGCCCCTCCTCCTCTGGGCTTTGTCCCTTTCCCGGGCCAGGAGGTCACCTGATCCCTTTGTTCACCTTTAGTCATCCCCTTACAGGGGGGAAGGGCCCCGGCCATCAGTTGCCAGGAGACAGAGTGTCGGTGATTTATGTGCACTGGCCCTTTGCTCTGCAACAATCTCACCCCCTTATCCCACCACCTAGATACTTAAGAAATGCATAGGGGAAACTGAGGCACCCACACAGTATTCAGAGGAAACATTAAGAACAGTCCCACTTCGTCACAGGCACACAGCCCCTCGCCCGCTGCGTCTGTGCTGATGCTCACAGCCTGCCCTGTCCTGCCTTGCAGAGGAGCTGACCTGCAGCGCCCGGCTGACCGTGCGCCCGTCGATCCAGCCGCTCTTCACCCGCAAGCTGGAGGACCTGGCCGTGGTGAAGGGACGGACGGCGCGCTTCGACTGCAAGATCAGCGGCACCCCCACGCCCACCGTCACCTGGACCCACTTTGGTAGCAACCTCCCTCCCCCGGCTGTGCCCTGGGCCCTGCCAGGAGACACCCGCCCCCCCAGCTGTGCCCTGGGCCCTGCCAGGAGACACCCGCCCCCCCGCTGTGCCCTAGGCCCTGCCAGGAGACCCCCTCTCCCCTCCCCCCCTCCCGGCTCTGCTCTGGCTGGGAGTCACCGTTTCCGGACGCGGCCAGGGCTCTGATCTGCCTGTGGCGTCCCCGCCACGCTGCGCAGCCCTGTGGCGTCCCCGCCACGCTGGTTGCCAGGCCTCTGCTCCAGGCTGCGGGTTCCTGCTTTCCCCGGGCGTGGGGGGTGCTGACGCGGATTTCTCTGCCCCCCGCTCCAGGCCAGCCCGTGGAGGAAGGCGAGAACGTGCGGCTGCAGCAGGAGCGGGGGCTGCACTCGCTGGTCATCGCGCATGCGGACAGCGAGGACGAGGGGCAGTACGGGGTCTGTGCTGCCAACGAGCAAGGCCAGGTGGAGTGCTCCGCCGAGCTGTATGTGGAGGAGCCGCGCCCGGCCACCACCTCCCACAGGTAAGAGCCGGCTGGGGCGTGGCCTGACCCCCTCCCCTGGCTGCCCGAGGGGACCCTCAGGGTGACAGATCCAAGGGGAATGGGCAGGGGGCATGGGGATCTCCCTAGGGGCCATGTGTCAGTACCAGCTGATGGTCTGCTCCGCCGCTCGGCATCTGGCCTAGGGGCCCACCCAGCTGTCATAGAAGTGGTGGGCTCGGGGGAGTGGGGGCACTTCCCTAGCCCCCCAGGGGACAGGGACGGGCTATTCCAGGCCCGGGATGCTGGCAGCCCTGAGCCCCAGGTCCTGCTAGTGCTGGGCCTGCCCGTCGTGTTCCTGTCCCGGCTCTGGCCTGGCTCCGGAGCTCGCTGCTACCCCCAGCCATGGCCAGCGCTCGGCCAGGCCTGGCCCAGGTCAGCACCAGCTAGTGGCTGAGCAATGTAACCCAGTTCAGCGTCCTGTCCCATCGCCCCCTTCCCGGCCTGTGTCCCTGCCGTTCCCAGCGCATACACCGCTGCGCTGCCTGAGTCTCTGGTCCGCGTCTCGTCCCATCGCCCCCTTCCCGGCTTGTGTCCCTGCCGTTCCCAGCGCATACACCGCTGCGCTGCCTGAGTCTCTGGTCCGCGTCTCGGAACCGCGCCGGTTTCTAATCACATGACCCAGACACATGACATCTGGGCCATCGGGCAGGGACCGGCTGTGGTCGGTTAGGAAGCCGTGAGCCGTCGGCTTCATCCTTTGCACCGGGCGTCTGCAGAGTTTGCTCTGGGGATGGTTCTTTCTGAGGCACAGACTGCCGGTCGATGGTTTCTGTTGGACCCTCCACGGTTGGGCTCAATCACGTGATGCGGGAGCTGAGTTCCAGCAACTGGAGTTCTCCATCCTTTTTCCCCATCCGGTCTGACACCAGCCCGGTCCCCAGGGTCTCGGCCCGGCAGTTCTCTAGCTGAGGGGCGTCTGTTGTAAAAGCCTCCGTAGAGTCTTTTTGCCTTTTCATCCGATTTGGCTGCTGTCTTCGTGTCTGGCCGCTTTGCAGATCGGCTCTTTTCCAGCGTTGGCCAGTAGCTCTGAGTGGCTGCCCACCGGGAGCTGCTCTGGGGGTTGGTCTGTAACTCAGAGGAGCCAGGGAGGAATCTTCCTGCTGTCGGATTTCCTTAGCTGGTTGTGCAGATCTCAGCCTCTCCACGGGCTGGTGGGGAACGCGTGCTGTTAGAAATGGGATCAGAATGACTTCAGTTCGGCTGCAGTGGATTGTGGGCCGTTGTCCGTCACTCGTTGTGCTGGAATACCAAAGTGAGCAAAAGTGCGCGTCAATTTCCCGATAACGCTGTGACGTGTTATGGCTTTCCAGTGCATTATTTCTATGTACCTGGAAGAATAATCCACAATGGTCAAGTAGTGGTGTCTTCTGAATCTGCATGAACCTGCAGCTCGTCTCTTCCCAGGTCAGGCCGGTCGGGTGTTCGCACGCTGTATGGCTCAGCGTTGTCTCTTCCCAGGTCAGGCTGGTAGGTTGTTGTG